ATATATATATATATTTCAATCTCATTTACTCACATTTGACTATCTTATTTTTGTTTGGGGAACAGCAAGTATATCTATAATCAAACCTCTGGAAACCTTACAAAAAAAAATAATTAGAAGCATTTATATTTCATCATATTTGGAACATTGAACTCAAAATTAGCTGCTTTATTCATTCTGTTGAAAATTATACAAAGAAATCAAACTTAAATTTCATTCGAATTGGACATATTCACAATCATGCCACAAGACAAACCAGATTACCGTCATAAATTAAGATACAAACAAATTTTTTGGAAAAAGGTCGATATATCACTATGGGATCATTATATACGATAATAAAAAATACCTAATCCATTACAAAATTCAAGTATCAATTGAAAAAATCAGGGGAATTTCATGATTTGCATTTTATTTATAAATAGATAAATTAATAATTCTTTATTTTCCTTTTTGACAAAGATAAAATTTGTATAGGAATCGTCAAAAAAGAGATCGGAGACTAGAAATTCCTCAAGAACTCTTTTGAAGATATTCATGGTTCTGGATTGTTTTATAATATGTAACAGCAAATTATATGCACGTGGAATTATCTGATCGGGTGAATCAAAAGCTAATTTGATTTTTGCAAATGGTACAAAAACATTGTTTTTCAGTCTTGTATCCTACTTATTTTCTCGAAAACAGACAAACACAATTCACATATTAAAAGACTGGGAACAGTAAGAATTCTGAAATATTTAAAAGCATTTCTGCATGAATCACGGTAACTTATACCAGTAATGGTTTGTATGAGTTTTTTGTGCTATAAAAACATCAGAGCAGCGAGAAGAAAGACCCCAGAAACACACTCCATATCTCAGCATGGAATAAACCTGAGAATAGTACAGCCTCTGCAACTGGTCAACATTTAAAACCTGCCCAATATTTCGGAACTGATATATACGAAGTAGAGTTAACTGTTTTGATGGCGGGTTGGCTGTCCTTGTTCATCTTTTACTGCCTGAACCACTGTGCATGCTGTTTTCGGAGAGTGCATTGGCTTGGGATGTGGGGGTTGAGCAAACCGGCCATCGGATGTCTGCTTCCACGTAGCCCCGCTGGATACGGGAATGACAGAATCACTTGTGGTTCTGTTATTCCCTAACTGACTGGCATCCCAACGATGGCTTAATCCTAAGGTGTGTGTATCCATGCCGAGAGGATGAATGACACTGAGCCTATCAGCTGTCTCTACGAAACCTTCGAGATACCGGGCGCCCTCTCGTCGTAGCATCGCCTTGTCACGGTAATGTGGCGCTCTGCCGTGATTGACCTTCTTTCCCTAGCGACTCGTGGGACTTTCACAGACAGAGTAAACTTAAAAATTCTTTCTGACGCTGAGTCTATAGAGGAGATGGATGTCAAGCTTAGGACTCCAATTGACCATCCTGTAAACTTAGATCAGGAGCGAGTCTACAGAGGAGATGGATGTCGTGTTTACGATTCCAACTGACCTCCCTATAAATTTGATTCAGGAGCAAGTCTACAGTGGAGATGGATGTCGAGTTTACGATTCCAACGGACCTCCCTGTAAATTTAGTTCAGGAGCAAGTCAACAGAGGAGATGGATGTCGAGTTTACGACTCCAACGGACCTCCCTGTAAATTTAGTTCGGGGGCGAGTCCACAGAGGAGATGGATGTCGAGTTTACGACTTCAACTGACCTCCCTGTAAATTTAGTTCAGGAGCGAGTCTACAGAGGAGATGTATGTCGAGTGTACGACTCCAACGGACCTCCTTGTAAATTAGTTCAAGAGCGAGTCTACAGAGGAAATGGATGTCGAGTTTACGACTCCATGCAACTAACCTCCCTGAAAATTTAGTTCAGGAGCGAGTCTACAGAGGAAACAGATGTTGAGTTTACGACTCCAACGGACCTCCCTGTAAATTTAGTTCAGGAGCGAGAGCTTCTCAACTCTCTAACTCCTGATCTAATAACTGAACCTAACAAAAAAGGTCGCCAGAGGCGAAAAAGTCCTGCACGGCTGAATCTAAGGCATCGTCAGTTGTAGCTGACGTGCAAAAACCCTAATATGGAAAGGTTGTCGTGGATATCAAGGTGGGATTCTTGCAACTTGACTACCCGACTACCTCATCAGGTCTTTAGAGTTCGGCAGAACCGTACTCTTACCATCTGATCTGAAAGACCACTCACCATACAAACTAATCGGCTTCGTTACGAAGCTGGGTTCCTTTGGCCAAGTGTGAATAGTTGTGAGCCACAATAAACCCTTGCGGGTTGCGGTGGAGGGTCGAATAGACCCACTCACTTTGGACCTAACCTAACCTAAATGTTTTGATTGGGAACTCACAGTGATTCTACCAATTCAAACGTTCATCAATGTGAAGACCTGAAAATTTTAATCTCGCACATCCTATCGTTAAAGTGTCGAATTATCATTTGTTCTGAAACTGATATCACATTTCCGTTGCCGATTATGAAACCTCAGTGAATCTATTTTCTTCGTGTTCAAAAACAAATTGTTCACAGAAAACTATACAATATAAACAATATGGGCCCCAATACCGACCCTTGAGGTACTCTTACTTCATAGGTGGTCATGCTAGAGGTTGCATTGTTCAATGATATGAATCGTATAACTGTAGTGGTGGATTATATTCAGAAACCCATGCTGTTTTTTTAAAGATGTTATTATGATGAGAGAATGATAGAAGTCTGTTTAGAAAAGCATATTCGACATACTTGATGGAATTATTACTGGCCGACACATTCACCAAATGAAGTAAAGGTTTTATCAAAACACAAAGACTCTTTTTCAAAAGAAACAGCCAAGTTACTTCACGACGTTTCGATTGTTAGTATCCACAATCGAAACTACTCATGGGTCATTTCAGTACTTTCACTTATCTCCGCTTTCCTCTTTCCGCTTCACCCGTTTAGCGGGAGATGACTGTTTGGCGGGAGTTCGCTTGATTATGGATTTCCATTGTTGGACAACAATGTATGCGGCTTATTTGAATTTCTTCTTAAACCAGTGTTCATCCCTGGGTATGATCTCAACTTGGGACCACTCGATGTTATGTTGATAAGTCCAAACATGCACTGCTATTCCTGATTTGCTGGTTTCCCCTCTCTGTGTGTCTTTCTTGTGCTCAGCAATGCGAACTTTCAATGGCCTCTTAGTTTCACCGATATAGGATTTTCCGCACTCATAAGGTATCCGGTAAATGTGATTCTTGGAATCGCAGTCCAGTGGCCTAGTTTTCGTGAGGCTGCTACGGATATTGTTTTCGGTTCTTATGTACTTGGACCAAATTCTTCTTATGCTTTCAGATAATTCTCTGATGTAGGAAAGTGAAGCACTGGTTGTGACGGCTTCTCTTCCTTGCGAGGTTCCTGCTGTCTTTTAGTCAAAGTCTGTTCCACCATCGCTTTGGAGTAGGCATTTCGTTGAAGACCATTTTTGATTATGTCTAGTTCCTTCTCGAGACCTTCCTTCGTATTACAGAGCTCGAAAGCACGGTCTAATGAAGCCTTGATGATTATTTTTTGTCTGTGGTTAGTGGTTGGATTCGTAGTTCAGATACTGTCCCGTGTGAGTGGGTTTTCGGTATACAAATTTTTCCCACTTAGTGTCGCTCCTCTTCACCAATACGTCTAAGAATAGCAATTCGTTGTGGACTTTCTTCTTCATTGTGGAAGTGATGTAAGCAGCAGCGGCTCGTCAGAGGGACAAGGGAGGCTTAGCCTTCCCATACAATTTGAGGCTATTCATCGCACTGAATTAAAAAATATTGACAAATAATTTCGATAATTTTTTTCTATAAATGCTTGGGTATCATTACTTTACCATTAATTTTTAATATAAATACATAATATGCCCGTAGTACGTACCACACTGTATCCTGCATCAACAAACCTCAAACGTACCACCCATGAACGAATAACGAATAAACCATCAACCCGAAATGATAAATGCCATACGTTGCAAGGGAGCCAAGCCTCCGACCGTTTTAAAAACCACAGGCTCCACGAGACCGATCCAACCAGCGACATACGTCCCGATTTGTAATTTCAGTTGCAGAAATTATAGCGTCAGAGGAGGCTAGCCTCCAGTTGGTCTCAGTTAGTGTATGACTGCGTTTGTTTTTTATTTAATTATTCAGACGGGATGCCGTGACGGTCCGGGACTGAAAAATATTTCGGTAAATCGGTTTAGTGTTTCTTGATAATATTTGTTATTTGTGTATAAAACAGGTAGTATTATATTATAGCAGTGCTTTCTTGTAATATTTTTAATGTGTTTTTAAAGTGTTTTCTTTCAATTTCAAGGTGTTTTCAGGTTTTCACTTTTCAGTAATTTTTTTTTCATTTATTATGGATAAGTTGGACGAAATGAAAAAATCTGACGATATAGTCGATTGGTTGCTGACAAATAATTTTAGGTCTTTATCTTATGATGATAAAGTTTACATTATTAAAACTCTGGGAAGGCCTCAACCAAATTTGATTTCAATTAAATCGTCAGATAATCGACAAAGTCGAGGATTTAATATTAGTTGGTACGATAAATGCGATTGGTTAACCGGCTTCAGAAAAAATTTTTTGTTTGCCCTGTGTTTTATTTTCCGTACAAATCGAATACCAAACGTGGTCTAAAATAGGATACTCCGAATTAAAAAATTCACCTCGTGTTATGGGGCAAATATGATTCACAATTTGGCTCTTTTTTAGACGATAGCGTTTTTTCGGGCACCTCAAAAACCATCCAAAATGAGCTTACTATAGACAGTGTGGCATATATTATTGAGGAAAATATAAACGAGGAGATTGAAAGTGTTTCTTTTTTTTTGCATGGGAAATTGATGAAACTACCGATATTACCTGTACATCACAACTTTCAATCGTTTTTAGATATGTCAAAGATGGTAATGTGGTAGAACGTTTTATGGGTTTTCATGATGTTTCATCTGGGCGAACAGCTGACGATTTGTTTAATTTTTTAATTCGTACGTGTACACCTATAATTTTCGGCAAAAATTAATTGCGCAAACCTAAAACAAACTAGAATAAAGTCCATAGCTCCACATGCACTTTTTACGCATTGTCATGCCCATGCCCTAACTTTAGTATTAAGCAAAGCGTGCAACAACTTAAAAAATTTCGCGCCTCCGGCGGGCTTTTCAGTGTGTATATAGTCTATATGACTTTAGCCCCTGTTCTCCAATGCACGAGCCGTCACTGGATGTAAGGTCTGTTGATGTGTTTCAGGAAGGCGTCTAGTTCAGTATTCCCATGGCAGTTTATTCAATTTCCATGTGGACACAGTAGTTGAGAGAAAACTAGATCAAAATTAAATGACATCGATATAGTTTTGTAATGTTTCTCAATAATCTTCAATAATATGGATGTTATGAAATTTTATAGTTTTTTTAATTCATTTTTCGGCTTTGTATGAAATAAAAACAGCTATCAGCTTCAAATTTTTATTTCAATTAATCTGAGGTATAGATGGAACATTTGGTTTGATAACAATTAAATTCATGTCGAAAATATCTAACAAAAATCGAAATCTTTGAAAAAACATAAGCTACACAGAGCATTGAAAACCACAAAAAATCTGATATGTTTGTTCAAAATGCAGACAGAGTGTCAATAAATCATGTTTCAAAACAATTTCAATGTTCAACAGTTATTCAAAATGAACCTGATGAAGCACCTTAAACACTTCAACAATATTCGATCCAGTATATTTCTGGCTACCCCTGCCTTTCCTGAGAGTCACATTAGCGAAATCTAAAACTTTATAGATCCATAGTTTCAGAATTTTTGAATAAATGCATGCTTTTGACATAGTATGATGATTAAATTCAAATTCAAAATCTTATATCAATAAAAATTATTTTAATTCGATGAGATCCAGAAGCGTCTGCCTGGGTAGGTTTATATTTCAAAACTCACATTCAGTCTACATAATAAAAAAATATAAACGTGATTTGAAAATGATAATCAAAATTTACAATGATCTGGGTGAGGAATGGCAACAGCATCATATTTACCACAAACATTTCAAAAGTTTTTCTAATAAATTATATATCATGGTTACTATTATAACAGAGAGACGTCGACCACATAGAGAGTTGAACCTTTTTAGATTTTATTGTCGTTATATAATAAATATAATTTGGAATGGTTCAGGCCATCATTCACAATTTATTGAATTCAATAATAAACATATTTTCTGCAAACTGTCAATGATGGCTTCAAGTATATCTAACTTTTTTATCGAGATATAAAATCTGTAACCATGATACAACGGATACTAATACTAATCAATTGAGCATTCCAGCTGAATATGTTCTTCCTTAGTATCTTCATTCAAGCATCGTTGATGTAGGAGCTACCTCAAGCAACATCTGCAGAAATACTGTTACGCCCTCTGTGAAAAATAAAAAAGTAGGCAATATACACATTGGAACAACGAAAAAAAATATCCCCGCACTAAACCGTTATTTTTAACACCTCGACACGTGTTTCGATCACCAAGTGATCATCTTCAAGAGGAAAATCAACCTCTTGAAGATGATCACTTGGTGATTGAAACACGTGTCGAAGAGTTAAAATAACGATTAGGTGTGGGGAAAAAACTTCAGTAATATTCATTACTACACCAAAGGTTCCAAACAATGAATCACAAATAAAAAAATACCCACTAAACACTATCACATATTTGAAAACATAAATCAATATTCCAAAATTGACAGAAGGTTTTCAGACGAAGAAAAATTGTAATTTGTTTTGATTCAGTTGATTTGATTTTTTTTATCCGTTGATCTTTATTTCTACTTATGCATACACTGACCGTTACTTGATGAAAAGTAATAACACAATCCATGATTATTATTATAGAATGTTCACAACAAATATTATTTCAGACGCATTTTTCTACACGGTTGCTTCATCAGTTAGACTGGTACATGAAACTATTCTACTTTTTTCTTCTATGTTTTATATACAGGGTTATTCAAATTCGTTTCTGTACATGGGAATCTCGTAAACGATAAGAGATAGTGTGGGTTGAATCGTGGTAAAGTTGCGTATTTTGGAAACCTATTCAATGATGTAAAGAAATCGAATATAGCTCTTTTGGTTCTAGAGATATACAGGAATAACAAAAAATCACAAATTATTTTTTTGCCTATATCTTTATTCGAAGACATATTGAAAATCTGTCCACATTCTGCTACTGGCACTTGATGTGGGCTCTCAGAATATATCAATGAATTTTTATACAGGGTGTCATCTGACTTGGGCCACCCTCATCTTTGAATTTTTAAATACGGACCGGTATTTTTTGTTGTAGTTTTTGGAACGTGGACGTTCACCTCATACTGAAAAATCAAATTCAATTTTATATTTCGGGATTTTTCGGCAATATTCGATTATAATTGTGTGAATAATTCCTTTTCAAATTACGGCCCTGGAAATTGGTTGACTGACTTGAATAAAAACACAATAGCAACTTCCACGTCTCCCTATGTACCGTAGAGTTTTTCGAGATTTTTTTTTTCATTTTTAGGTACCTATTCATATTTTTTCCATTGCTCTGAGCGTTTTCTACAATGAACTTCGAATAAAAAAACCTTTTATGATTATCTGAAACATAACTACAACAAAAATATATTATATGTGTTTTGATGAGCAGAAAAAAAATGGCAGCAATAATAACATCCGAAACGAACTTTAATTATAATGAAAATTGAAATGAAGTAAGTAATTTATATACACAAAAAAATTAATTGTGCAATAAATGTTCGAATTGAAGTCCTTCCATTTAAGAACAAATAAATGGGACAACAAGATGGTCTGCAAGATCACCAGATCTTACTATTTAGGACTATTTTCTATGGGGGACATTGAAAAATAGGATTTACGCTGGCAGAGAGATAGAAAATGTGGAAGACTTGAGATTAAAGATTTTGAATGATTTCGCAACAATGCAGCAAATAAGTGTATTGAGGGCAATGAATAATATGAAAAACCGAGTTTAAAAATGTCTCGAAATGGAAGGACTCCAATTCGAACATTTATTGCGCCAATAATTTGTTTGGGTACCTATATAAATTACTTCATTTCAATTTTCATTACAATTATAGTGTTCGTTTCGGATGTTATAATTGCTATCATTTCTTTTTCTGCTCATTGAAACACTGTAATATATTTTTGATGTAGATATGTTTCAAATAATCATAAAAGGTTTTCTTATTCGAAGTTCATTGTAGAAAACGCTCAGAGCAATGGAAAAAATATAAATAGGTACCTAAAAATGAAAAAACTCGAAAAACTCTACGATACATAGGGAGACGTGGAAATTGCTATTATGTTTTTATTCAACTCAGTCAACCAATTTCCAGGGCCGTAATTTAAAAGGGAATAATTCACACAATTATAATCGAATATTACCGAGACATCCCGAAATATGAAATTGAATTTAATTTCTCAGTATGAAGTGAACGTCTACGATCTAAAAACTACAACAAAAAATACAGGTCCGTATTTAAAAATTCAAAGATGGGGGTGGCCCAAGTCAGATGACACCCTGTATAAAAGATTCATGGATATATTCTGAGAGACCACATCAAGTGCCAATAGCAAAATGTGGACAGATTTCCAATATGTCTGCGAATAAAGAAAATATAGGCAAAAAAATAATTTGTGATTTTTTTGTTTTTTCTGTATATCTCCAGAACCAAAAGAGTTATATTCGATTTCTTTACATCATTGAATAGGTCTCTAAAATACACACCTTTGCCACAATTTAACCGACACTCTATCTCTTATCGTTCACGAGATCCCCATGCACAGAAATGATTTTGAATAGCCCTGTATAACAGTATAAATTGGAAAATTGGAACTGGAAGAAAAGTATTGCTTCTTTTCTATTCAATTTCGAAGCTTTACTAACTTTTCCAGAACAGAAAAGTGAGGTTATATAAGAGAAGCCGTAAAAATATTTGAATTTTACAAGACATTACTGATGTTCGATGAATAAAACACTTATAGAATTGTCAACAATATAGATGGATTGTTATACAATGTTGTTACGAAGATTTTCTGGAAAGTGTATAATACTTAATGAAAATATTGTAGTTTCCTATGATTCCTTTCACTAATGCAAATTGGGTGAATGGACAGAACAGTCCATGTATAGGATAAGACTTTTTTGAAGTACACTTCATATAAACAACTATGAAACCTTAGGTAACAGAGTGTACAGAAGTTCATTCAGGGTGGCTTGTTTTCAACTCAAATAAGTTTTAGTTTCCAAACTATGATCTTCAAACTATTATGTATTCTACTTTGTTAAAATCTATTCATTTGGAACATATGATAATGCAAAACAATTGATCCATTAAATAATGGTGACATGCTCTGGGGGTGCGATAGGGAAAGTTAGATCAAATGTGAATATGTCAAAATGTGTCCCCCTATACAGGGTGTAACTAAATAAGTGTAAAACATTTAAAGAGGTGATTTCTCATCGAAAAAAAAATAGAATCTTTCATATAAAGAAACTTCATTGGAGCATCCCTTGTTAAGATACAGTCCCTTAAAAGGGCTACATAAAATTTGTATCACAATTTTTTTCACAAGCACTGAAAAAGTTACAATATTGAAATTAACTTGACGTTCTGGCATTTAGCCAGAAACTCATTTGGTTTACCCCATGGTTGTAAGGGGTGGAAAACGCAACCCCTAAAATTTATTTCCAATGTAACTTTTTGCCTTATTATTTGTTTACCATTTGAAAATTCATTTCCGATAGCCTGTTTCATTCTAAACAAAAAATATCTCTTGGGTTTTTTGCCAAAATAAATCAGTGCACAGCAAAAAATTATTTTAGGAACAATTACAAACATACATCATTAATGTCATAAATGCGAAAATACGAAACTAATCTACTTATCTAGTAGGTCGCTATTAGCGATAGTTACAATTAAATTGGTATGACGCTGTCAGTTTGTGAATTTTCGAAATTGAATCAATACTAATTGTATGTGGTTGTTCTGTTCTTAATTTGTTACTTTAAGAATTCACTTGTTATTAAAATGGCATACACAAATGAGGAAATGGCTGATATGCATTACGTTTACGGTCTGTCGCAGGGGAATGGGTTAGAAGCTTCTAGCTAGAAGATATGCTGAAATGTATCCTCAACGGCAGCATCCTTCACATAGAATATTTGCTCGACTTCATCAACGATTACGAGAATATCATTCATTCGACAAAAGAACGCAGGATTGTGGTCGCAATCGAGAAGAACGAACACCACAGCTTGAGGAAGCAGTACTTAATTTGATTGAAGAACAACTTACTACCAGTACTAGAAAGATTGCTTTACAGCTAAATGTTGATCATATGACGGTATTTCGAATTTTAAAGGAACAACTCTTACACCCTTACCATCTGCAACGAGCACAGGCACTGTTACCGCGAGACTTTCCTAACTGTCTTGAATTTTGCAATTGGATGCTGGAAATGAACAGTTTTATCTTAACGTGTGGCCTGGGATTTATTGGGAAATTTATTGGGAATGATTTAATTGGGCCTCAATTTCTACCTCCTCGATTAAATGGTGAGGCATACGTTCAATTTTCAAGAGAAGTGCATTCAGTACCACTGGAGGAAGTTCCTTTGGGCGTCAGAAGGGATATGTTTTTTATGCATGATGGGGCTCCCGCCCATTTTAGGCAAGTAGCACGTCAGTATATGCAAATCAGTGGATAGGTCGAGGAGGACCACAGAACTGGCCCGCTCGATCCCCGGATCTCAATCCTCTCGATTTCTCTATTTGGGGCCATTTACAGCATTTGGTTTATCGTACTCCTGTTCGCGATGTAGAGGACTTAAGAAACCGCATCATCGATGCGTGCAGGGTATCAGAGACTCCAGAAATATTTGAGCGAATACGTGGCTCAATGCGTCGACGTCTAGACGCATGCGTAATATCTGAAGGTAGACATATTGAGAATTTACTATGATTTCTACATGTTGTGTGTTTTGTTATTAACAAATTAGTTTTGTTTATTACCCTTTGATCGTTTAATGCAGGTACTAACTATAAAATAACAATAAATCCAGTTCGCATTTATGACGATGCATCTCCGTAGTAAAATAATTTTTTGCTGCGAACTGGTTCATTTTGGGTAAAAAACCCAAGAGATATTTTTTGTTTGGAATAAAACAGGCTATCGGAAATAAATGTTTAAATGGTAAACAAATAATAAAACAAAAAGTTACATTGGAAATGAATTTTAGGGGTTGCGTTTTCCACCCCTGACAACCATGGGGTAAACCAAATAAATTACTGGCTGAGTGTCTGTTTGGTAGTACAAAACGTCAGGTTAATTTCAATATTGTAACGTTTTCAGTGCTTGTGAGTTGGGATACATCAATTAACAATAATCCGCAGTCAAAAAATGTTTATCCCAATTTTAACGTTAATTATAAATTTGTTAATTAATAACTCATTCTGAATTGAAAGTTAATATAAAAATCCCTATAATTATTAAACTAAAACCCTGGCATTTTTTTCCTTTAGTGTAATTATTGATCTATATTAATTAAAAAAAGAAATATTTTCAAGTCTTTTCAACATAAACTTCGTGTCATGTAACAATAAATCATAAGGATTTTATTATTTGCACTTTTAGTAGTTGTAGGATCATTAACATTCACTCATTGTCATATTTGTATGGAGTTTAAGAAAATTAAATGAAGCAATCAGTCATAAAGAGTCCCCTATTAGGGGGTTGCTCGTTCAAGCTTAAAATATACGTCAAAAGATGTCCCCCAAACAAAATCATTCGACGTGTTTCGTGAAATTTTTCCACTCATTATGGGATGAGAAATATACGGGGTGGCTCGTCTGAGATAGAACACCCAGTATATAACCAATTTCGTGAATGTGAAAATGGTTTCTGAAAATGTGCTTCTATGCTATTTTGAAGAAAAATTAAAAATTATAAAACCTCTTACGTTATGGAGTGTCTGTTCAATGTTGAAAAGTACATTGAATGTTGAGGAAGTTTTCAAAATTGGTCCCGCTCATTACGAACAAAAGCGTCGGATACCGAGTAAAGAGATCTAAAGTTTCATCAAGGGATAATATCAATAAATTGATTCAAGATACTGATAACGACACGAATTTACTTTATTAGGTACAGATATAATCATAATTTTGTAGGATTAGTAGTAATTTCAATTATTTTTAAGTTGTAGGTTGTCCTAATTTTGTGTATCATCGGGACTTGTCGCCATGAAGAATTATTACATGTAACTATTGATGCTATTGAATATGCTGGAACTATATTGATTGTTAAAATAACTGATAGGAAGCCCTATTGCGCAAGAACGTTTACTGTTTCAAATTCTGATTATATTGAGATAACCGCAAGTACGGCTGCCTCATACAAAAAGTACCAGATTATTTTTGAAATATTCCAGAGAAAAATAAGAGAAATTCCCAGCTTGATTGCAAAAATGCTTGGAAAAGTCATGTATAAGAGCTACACAGGTCACTCTCTACTATGCAAGTTAATCATTAAATTGTCCTATTTCATCAGCTACGTACCCATTTCTAAATAACTCAATTTTCAAGAGCACCATTCAATAATCGTATCTAAGAAAAATTTCTTCCCCTTTATTTTCCAAACATTTCCTTAATTCAAATTAATATTGAAGACTTCATTTTATCTCTTCACATTTCTTTCAACAAATACCTACATTTTTATATCTGGTTGGTACTTATTCCCAAGTTCTATCTGTTGTATTTTTTTTAAAAAATAATTAATTTAATTTCTAAATTTTGAAATTGACATTCACACAGCAACAACCTCAATGGTGGAGCTATCAAAATAGCTTTCAAAGTCTGAAGACAAATAATACTGAAATTCAATTGTGAAATAAAATGATATACTCACCCATGAATGGTATTCGCAGCTTGTAGTGGACGAAGGGAAAGTAAAATACCATCCCACCAAGTATGAACAAGGATGCATACAGGTACTCGATTGTTGGTTTATCTACTATAGGGCCTATCACCAGGTACAGAGAAATCACTAATACCAAATACGGAATGATAATTGGCACCTGAAAAACAATTTTGAATTGAACAGTCTTGTAATCAGTAACATAGGAATATTGTACCTTGTAGGGCCTGGGGTAGTTGGGCTTGGTGTGACGCATCACTATGAGGGCTACCATAGCTCCACCATAGAAAATCCAAGCAGTGAAACTGAAGAAGTCTATCAGCGAATCTATGGTACCATAGAGAACCATGGCACCAGCAATTAGTGACTGCAAAAGAAGTGATCAAATGTTAATATTCAACAGGTAGATATTGATAATAGAGAAAATGGATTCTCCTTCTGTAAGTACAGGAGTATTTTAAAGCTCTGCGGCCTCTATGTGGGCGATTTTCTTGGTGAAGTACCCTGATTAGAGACGATTCAGTTTCACGGTTATATACCATGTGAGAGAAAATATAATTTATATCGCGTTTATAGGCTTCAGCAGAACCTTTTTATTTTGTATTCACTCCGGGCCGGAAAGACAAATGCCTTCCAGCTGTAAGGGACGTGGAACGGTGAATTTAGAATGGAGACTTTCATGAAGGGGTAACTTTTTTCATATCTTCACTTGGAGTTCGTGAAGCTTCTTCCATTCATAACTCCTAAAAAGTGGATTGAACTCGGAATGGCAGGCATACTTGTAGAAACAATTTTATAATTTTTTGACCACATCTTCTGGAGTGAATGGCTGACTTTTCATATTCGAAATTGTTTGAATGCACATGTCTTTAAAATGACAGAGATGTATAGTTATCAAAGCTTAAAGTATGGACATCTTAAGTCAAAGTTTATACCACAAGAAGCTTTCTTTACTGAAACTACCTGTAAGTGACCTTTTCCCCCTCAAAAATAGTATAAATCTCTCCGGTATCAGACCGTGTGGGTTGATTTCGTCTATTAACTGCAAATTCTCTCATTATCTTTCTCATATCTTCCTCTCTTGCGATCGACAATGCAAATTTTGCCACTGATGAAGATTATAAATTAGTGACTTTATGTCTCTGTAACCAAATACCTAATCATTCGGACCATAGACAAGTTATGGTTTTTCATTCAATCTGGGTCCAAACAAAATTTTTTGCACCCACAAATGTCCTTCTAGCAGGATTAAATCCGATCAGCGGTTACCGAATTATCCACAAAACGTGGATTCTCTCAATATAACCAAAAAAGGGTCACTCAGATTTTGGTCTATACCGCTTCAGTAGAGAATGTTTGCCCAGCCACTAGTCAAGTTAGAGCTGCTTGCTTCTTGAGATGAAACCAGATCCAAAATCATAAAATTTCTGATCATACAACAGACAGCGCTGTTTCGATCCGCCATATGTCTCATTAATGGGACTGAGCTGAATAACGAATGCATTTCTGGACTTAACACTCCTTGAAGAACAAGCTTGAGTAAGAAAAATTGAATCTTTCCTTACAAAGACGCCATCTATGGGATCGACGGAAGATTTAATCCATGAATACAAAAGATAAACAAGGTTCTCAAAGGCGGACCGTGACAAAACCAAGGTAAGAGCAATTCAGAAGAAATTCGTGATTCGGAGCACCAACTCTGCTGTTTGGGATTGGATCAAGCATGCTTTATTTTGGACTCAATTTTCAACTAGTTGTTTAGCTAGGGAAATACAGGGTACAAATTTCTTCCGACAGGACTACTGATTTCTCCTCTGGACAAAAACATATCTAAACATTTCCGATTGCGGAATAGTTCCAACTGAGATGTACTTCAACCAAATAAAGTGCCTCTCTAATGAAGCGTCTAGGAGCATACATGCTAAAAGTTAGTTAGCTCGTTTCCAAAAAAAACTTAAAATCTTTTCGGACTGAATAATAATTTTCTGAAAGTGGTTCGTAAGAAACCGCCTGTTGAAGCCTCTTTAAAATGGCTAGATTTGCTGATTACAATTATTGTCACATCTGAGTAATCGATTTGCTATCGTCAGGATATATTTTGTAAAAAAAGATCAGAACCTCAGGACACGAATCAATTTCGATAGAATAGAAGCCTCAGCCGCTTGAACCACAAATAGATTAGTATTATCCACAAAAAAACTTATGAATCAAGGCGATGAGAAGCTTAAAATTCAAGCTACAGATGACAAGTAACCTAATTGATGAAATTCAGATATTTGGGCCTTTCTACTCACTTCTAAGGCTATCCATACAATCACATGGATATTGATATAGGTGAGATCGTATATCTCTTGATTTGCACATTTGTAGAATCAATAATCCAGACGTCAGGGCAGGTAGGTAGATTGTAAACTCTCAGAATATTACTATATAATATCATCAGAATGGTACAGGTAGCAAAAAATATCCTTTGGGAGGGACGATTATTCCCACTATGAAATGGACGAGCTGTACAAATATAAGAATACAGTGATATGATGCATGTAGTACAAGAAGATGAATCGAGAAAGTAGACCATATTATTATTCACCAAGAGGATCACGATGGAGGGAAATCTGGACGAGATACGTATTATTTGAAAACCAGTATCAAGAAAGAATGAAACGATAAGCGGAGTCTGGTCAGATGCACCCACAGAAAGAAAGAGGGTATGAAATCAGACACGAAAAATTGACTTTAGTTACGGATGGCCAAACCCATTATAAAACAAGCACCTTTGTTCTGGTGCCAAAGTCAAAAGGAGACCACCACTACCAAATTAAGCAAGGTGTAGTTTTTTGGGAACAGCAATACGACCAACACCAACATGTCATTGGTCTATTCTCTTCATATTTTATGATTATGGAACAGGCAAGAGTTACAATCGCAATAGGCCCACGAAGCTGCAGAAACAAAAATAGACAAGTCCCAAAAAAAAGTAAACTATAATGGCCAAATTTAGTATTTTTAGCTATTGATATACTCACATGGAATATTAAACCAGGCGACGGCGTGTATCTCCTGATATGCACGTACGACAAGATGTCCAAAAGATGTCCCTCCCGACTGGCTGCGAAGCAGAGTCGTCCAGCGGCAAACAACGTTCCATTGGCTGAGCCGAAAGTTGAAATGGTGACTGAAAGCGGCATCAACCAGGCCATGACTCCCAACACTCGATTTCCGAAAGTAACTGCCACCGCTTCGCTGGTCATCATTTCCATGGGTGACATCACAGTTAGATAGGACACGTTTATGAGAGCATAGCAAACGGTCACAAGAGGAATTCCTATTATTATGCTACGTGGCAGGTTTCTGAAATTGGTAACAAAAAATATTGAATATGTTAGAAAAACTGTTTAAAAATTTGTTTTTCCGTCAACCAGCTGCTGCCCACATTTTTTTGTTACAAGATGGAGTAGTAGAAAGCCAAAAACATTCTTTCCGAAAAATTAGTCACTCCTAAAAATATAACCCTTTCAATTTAAACAAGATTCCTCTTGGCTAGGATTTAATCAAATAGGTCAATGAATGTCATTACCATGTCATCGATGACATGATGAGTAGATCAAACTTATGCCAAGACATAAAAAATCGTAGTTCATGAATTAATTGTGTTTTTTCTTATAATGTTATCCAGATTGGTACTGAAGAGCCCTAAGGCAAGTGTCTTACGGCGAAACATCGATGTCTACCAGTGAGGATGACAGTGTTCCATGTAAGCGCAAATATTTCCATTCATTTAGTGTAGAACCCCTGTGAACGATATCTGAATTTATTCTAAAACGAATGTTTGGAATACAAACTGAGTAGAGAGTACTGTCTTCTGTATTATTCACTGTTCATATAAAAGTATTTATAATAATAATAATAAATGGTTTTTATTTTACGTGGCGGAGTTTAGGAAAGCACTATTCTTCCACTCAACCACGTTTGGAAGAAAAAAGAAACATTACAAAAAATAAATGGCAACTTCATGACAATAGTAAGATTAATTTCAAATGATTATGTTTGGATCACTGTTGGCTGAGTAATTCAGTTTTGAGTTTACTTTTGAATAGCGGTAGTGATGAATTTTTCAAAGATTCACTGAATGAATTATACATTGTTACAGCATGATACGTGAAGGATCGTTCATAGATAGTGCTGTTATGATTCGGAATGTCAAAATTATTGTTGAATCTAAGGTTTCTTAAGTGTATCTGATGTCTGGGAAGGTGTTTATTTACCAAATAAGTGGGTTGTTGTGTATTTATCAGTTTGTGAATGAAAGAAGCGAAATGAAATTCTCTTCTGTTTTGCATTTTCAACCAATTAAGTTGATTGATGGAAGGGGTCACATGATCTCTGTAATTCAAGCTGAATATTAGTCTAATGCGGGCGTTCTGTACTTTCTGAATTGTTGCAGAAGTTATGGAATCGATACAAGGGCCATAGACGACATCGCAATAATTAAACAGTACGTCTGAAAGGGTAATTTTGAGAGACCTACTAAGAGAGTGTCTGTTTAAATACATATGTTTCAGAGTACCGTACGACCTTTGAATGAGATTATTGACTTGATGAACAAATCTGAGGTTGTAGTCTATATGAAGTCCTTAACATTTTATTTCGTCAGTCAATTCCACAGAATGTCTATCAATATACAAATCGATATTATCTATGGCCCTTCCACGATCTTTGGCTTTTCCAAAAATTATTGAAGATGATTTACTAGGATTAAGGTTTAGACAGTGTTGCTGCGAAATCTGAACAAGATTTTTTATATCATTATTGAGCGATGTTTCGTGATCAATAAGCTGATTTACTTTATCGGAGTAGTACAAGTTAGTGTCGTCTGCATATGTATGAATGTTGAATAACTTGAGGACCTTGGAGAAGTCAGATGTGTAGATAATAAAGAGTAGCGGGGCGAGAATTGAACCTTGCGAGGCTCCATGACATACACTCATATTATCAGACTGACTACCCTTTATCACAGCACGTTGCTTTCTATTTTTTTAAATGAACTAATAAAGTCAGATGCCTCCTTACTGAAACCAAAAAAACCAAGTTTAGCGCACATCAGATCGTGATTCACGGTGTCGAAAGCCTTACTGTAATCGAGAGACAAGAAAAGAGTGACCTTTTCATTATCGGTGGCTGAAAAAATATCGTCGGTCATTTTCAACAGAGCACTAGATGTACTGTGATTTTTCCGAAAACCAGATTGGTGTTCAGGTAGGATGTTATTATCAGAGACATAAGAGTATATCTGACTATAGGCTGCTTTTTCTACAATTTTTGATATTGCCGGTACTATATTTATGGGCCTCAAATCATTTGGTGCCAAAGGTTTGGAAATTTTGTTTATAGGAAAAATAATAGATTGTTTCCATAGTTCCGGGTAGATACTGGTTTCAAGGCATTTGTTGACTAAATATGTTAGAACTGGAGTTAAGTAAGGGACACATATTTTGATCATTTTGATAGATATTTTATCTGATCCGGTAGCATTCGTTTTTTATGGAGTTGACTAGCATGTTAATATCATCCATATTGATTTGATGGAATTTAAAAGTTAAATTTTCTTGAAATTGCGTTATTTTCAAGAAGTTAAGAAGAGTATCCGGAGGTTCAGTCGCAATTTGACTGACCGAAGTAATAAAGTGATTGTTTATTTCATTAGGATTAGGAAGATGTTCAGGAATATCTTTCCTGTCTTTACGATTGACAATGTCAAATGAGTGTAATATGTTCCATAGATGTTTAGCGTTTTGTTGATTTTTAATGAAATTCAAGTAGGCTTTTTTTTCTTTCAGTATAGCAGCTGTCACCATGTTTCTCAAACCCTTATAGGTGTTCCAATTGTCACTCGTTTTATACCGTTTATATTTCGCGAAAGCTGAATCTTTTGCGTTAATCATGATCTTCCAAATGTTAGTCAACCAGGGAGCTTTGGGTTTGCTTATTCTCGTCGTTATTATGGAGGCATGAACATCGAATACGCAAAGTAAATAATCGTTGAAAGTATTTACAATTTCATCTACATTTTCTGAAAGACATATATCATGCCATGGCATTTCCATGAGATCATTTAGAAAGTCATCATAGTTGAAATATTTATAATTTCTGAAAGTACGATAAGTATGTTTCATTTTCATTGATTGAAAAATTAACTCACAGAATACTAAACTATGATCGGAAATTATATCTGCGTTTATTGTCTGCACGCTTGAAATATTTTCCGTATTGGATACAGCAATAATATCAATCAGGGACGCACTTGAATTTGTTACTCTAGTGGGTTCATCATTTACTATTGTGAAACCGTAAGCTTCCGAAAAATCTATAAATTTTCGAGTGTTATTATTAGAGTTATTCAAAATATTCAAATTAATATCTCCTTCAAGAACCAGTTCGTCTACAGTAGGTAGTATTTGAGGGATTGTATTTTCAAGCGAAGTAATGAATTCATTCACATTAGTGTGAGGGGGTCTATACATTGTAATTTGTTTCGAAACAATTTTTCTTTCGTGTAATTCAATGTTTATATGAAAGTAACTGTTTCCTTTCAGTTTTTGTCTGAAAACTACTTCTTTGTATGATCTACACATGTATAGAGTTACTTATTTTAAAATTGATTACTTCCTTCCTTTCTTTGGAGTAGTAGAAAGCCAAGAACTTTCTTTCCCAAACAATAGTCACTCTTAAAAGTATAACCTTTTCAATTTAAACAAGAAGCCGAAACTTGTGCGATTCAAAGATTACCTTGGTTCGAGCCACCGTTCACAAGCCGTCGATTTAACGATCCAGCAAATACAGCAGTATTATACAAGCTTTCGAAGCAGATTACATGATTTATAATTCGAACACAGAGGAAGCCGCAACATGAACATGAGCTATCAAATGAAATCAGAACACATACCAAACCAGCACAATCAAAAATATATTCAGTGCTGAAGCATTTATTTTTCAATTTTAAGTACATACTTCCATTCAGTTTCCATCTGTCATTCAGTGACAATCACCCCCATCTTGAATGAACTTCAACAGACTAACAGAGAAGAAAGTATTCTACTTTATACTGTAACAAACATGTCAAAGGCAGAGGTATTCACAAAAAAAGACAAGTAAATCAAGACTCCCTAAATATTCCAAAAAAGTTCACAAAATACCATTCTTCAACTGACCCGGAACATTCACAGCTTCCGTTAAACCAATAAACCATGTGCTAAAATGGACCACAAAATATAATCTGATAACATTAAACCATTACATCAAACCATCGCGACAAAGCCTTTGAAATCAAAGGAAATATAAAGGAGTAGACGCGAAGACATGGTGGTGTTAACACACCGTCAGTTTTCGTTTCATAGTTGGCAGATTGAGACCTTAGCTAGGAACACTTTTTTTCCGGATAAGAAAAATTTGTTATTTTCCTTTTTGGATTGTTGACCAGCATTTTTTTCCAATGAATTTTTTGCTGCCATGAGTGGCAGGCATTTTCAGGAGTACAAAGACAGGTTTTTCCTCTCTTTGATAGTTACTTTCGACTGTTTTTCAGCCAAGCCTGAAAAATAACCATGGAACCTGATCGTGAGAACTATCATTCACAATAGACTTGGAGTTGAGATACATGTCTTATTGCCCCATCAGTACCGTTCTGGATAACAATACAAGATAAAGCACTCAATTCATTCATAACATTACAACTGTATGTCACGGAAGAGTTGATTTACTAATGTTACTGTGACAATACGTGAAGACATTCATACTCTTATTTAATCAAATCCCAGCCATAGGAATCTTCTTTGAATTGAAAAGGGATATAATTTAATGAGAGATTTGTTTGTGGAAAGGAAGGTTTTTGGCTTTCTACTTCGCCTACTCTATATAAAATATGTGCGAACCTTACGAAAAAATGCAGAAAGCAATCAAGTTCAAAATATTTTTTTACAATTATGTGTAGATCATGCATAGTAGTTACCTTCAGATAGAAACTGGAAAAAAAGCTGTCCCGAAACAACTGCTCACAGTGAATTATACGAAAATCACTTTTTCCTTTTCAGTTGGTACTCCAAACATTCTTTATGGAATGAGTCAGATATTATTCGTACGAATGTAGCATGTTGAATTGAAAAGGGTATATTTTTAGAATAGTTTACTTTTTGATAAGGAATTTTTTTGACTTTTAGGTTTCTTCTTCCTCAAAAACTAATCTCTCCTAAGAGAAGAGGAAATGTTTTTGGTTTTCTTGGTTTCTCCCCCAAAAACTAATATCACCAAAAAATATACCCCTTTATATTCAAATTCTATTGAATAATTTAGGACCGATTATTCCATATAAAAGTGATTCAATTAGCAATTTTTGAAAGGTTTTTTCGAGACTTCTGCAACAACAAAACAGAACCGGAACCTGGCTGATTTGAGTCAATCTCATATGAGGATGCTCCATGTCCAATTTTCTTGATAAGTGCCAAAATGTTTAGTTTATATTTTTACATATTTGTATTAACCGTTAATATAATTTATCGCCATCATGATTTATAACTCCACGAGTGACTTCAGGTCACAACTTTCTACCAGGAAATACGAGTTTGTCCACATACGAAGGTGGTCTGCAAAGTTTCCGACCTACCAAAGATACTAGACATTTTTCGGATTTTTTTTAATTTTCAACATAGTCTCCTATGCGATGCTGCAATCCGTCCAAATAATACTCGGCGTTTTCTCTGCAAAAAAATTGTTCGCGAAAGTGATTGCTTCTTCATTTCTGTTTAAAACATATGTTCAAAATCTGTTTTTCCGTTAACCCGTTGTCGCACCTCTACGAACGACAATCTTCAGAAGTCGAAACTTGTGCGAGCTAAGGACTAACGAGGTCTTATCTTTTAACGTGCGATTCCTAACACGGGTTGGACTATAGCAAGTGAAAATCGATTGTTCAGATAAGGAAGCAAAAAAAATCGCTTGGGGCTAGATCTGGTGAGTGAGGCAGATGGTCAAGCAGATTGAAACGTAATTTGTGACTTTCTACATGGTTCGACGGTGCGTTATCTTGGTGAAACAGGATCTTCTTTTTCTGCAAATGTGGGTGTTTTTTCGTAAGTTCTGCCTTCAGCTGGTCAAGTGATGATGCGTAGTATACTCCTGTGTGTTTTTTTAAAGATAATTCATTATAATTACTCCATGACTATCCCAAAAAACAGTCGCCATCACTTTCAAAGCAGAAAAAACAGTTTTTTGGAGCCGGTTACTCCTTTGCAGTGCACTGTTTGGACTACTTTGATTTCGGGCGTATAATGGTATATCCAAGTTTCATCTACAGTAATTAATCAGCGCCAAAACTGGGATTTAGTGCACCTAAACTGCGCCAACAGAGGGTTGGAACCAACTCATCTTTGATTTGCATACGCGTATTGCCTTTCAAAAACGAATATTTAATGACAGCTCTATACACGATTCTATCCATTTTCATAAAAACACTCTCATCAACTCACTCAAATGACTGTTACATAACTGCGCGTCCAAAATGGCTGAAACTATGGTGAGTAACTATCAACAGATGAACAAAAAAATTTACCAGCTTTTATTTCCGAGTGTTGCTATCTTCATGTTGAGGTCGGAAACTTTTCAAACAACCCTCGTACAGTGGAAAACAATTCAAACGAAAACAATTACCTTGATGGGTTTTTTATTTCTTCTGTAACGTAATTTAAGTTGTTCCAGCCGTCGTAAGCCCATAGTCCAGTATAGAATGCTGTTGCTATATTCCCCAGAGAATACTGCGTATTCTTGAATGGTTCCATCAAATGTTGGGTATTTCCTGGAATATTATACATTATCATTTTCATTTTACGAGGCACTGAAAATGCAAGAGAGCTGTGTGATTGTTGGAAAAATATTAAGTATTGATATAAAAGTTACTCCTATTCAGCGAATACTGTCATCGATTACGAATAATATTAATAATATGTATTCATCATTTGGAATAACACGGTGAGTAATATAATGGATGAAATAAAGTATGAATAAATCAGGCCAGACCCACGAAGTGAAGAATTTCACTTGTTTGTGAGCGAGAGAAATAATACAAAAAAAACAAAATACAAATAAAAATAAAATACAAGTAACAATACAAATATAAGTATACATATTAGCAATATAAGTGTGTATAATAGTGATATTTATATATTTAAAGAGAAGGATTAGTCGAAACAGCAGTCAAGAAAAATTATTGGCACACTACGAACACGCATTTCTGGCCATTGCCTCATCAGATCGGCAACACTTGGTTGCCAAAAATCGGGAAAACAGCACAAACGAACGGAGTTCGTTGATTTCGAAGAGGGGATGCAAAATTTTTGTTAGAGGAAAAACGAAAATATTTTTGTACCTGCTCTGTACCACCACTCATCTAAGAGGATCAATAAAATGTAACTGAAGAGGATCCACATCTAAGAGGATCATGATTTGGCGCCCAACGTGGGACAAAAAAATAATGTAGAGTAGTGAGGAACATTGCTGAATCAATCCATAAAAAACATTCAAAGGGTACATATGAGTATGTATGGATACAGAACAGTAATAGGTCTGAAGTAAAAATCGAAAGTATTGCTTATCGCATAATTATTTGCGTAGTCCCTGCATAAAATTACAGAGTACAAAGAAAAATCCGGCAGCTATAGTTGAAATTAACGGACAATTCAAACCATTTGAATTGAAAAATAGTAGAAATACACGAATAGACCACAAAAAAATATGATTGGTCCTTAGAATGTTTCACACTAGGGTTTTATTCAACTTGAGTTGAGTAACAGTTTAAAACTATATCTGGAAAATATGTTTTCATTCAGAGCCAGAATGTCAAAAACAAACCCTATTAGCAATTGAACCTTTTCCTATTTAGATAGATTGCTGATATCGATTCCAGTATATCAATAGAAAGGGAAAGCCGTTGCAATACTAATAGTGAAATATGAGGCATTTTTTTGTCGTTTCAATATAGGCGATAATAAAAATATATAAAAGCTTGAAATCTTTTCCAGAAATCTGGTACAATTTTTTTGGCTCTGGAAGGAAAACATTTCGTCGGATATTTCTATTGAGTGAGGAATTATCATAGACTACTGAAGCACTCAGGTTTAATATTTTCTCAGTGTCAAATTTTTTCTGAATCTCAGTAGCGACTTTTTCAATTGTTATATAATCTTAGCAAGGACCTGCTCTTGAGATGGAAGGGAACAATTTGTCATTCAGATACTAACCAATTTGCAAACAAAAAACGATTCTATTGGAACATAACTTGGGAACCTCATTTCTCCAATTCTAATAAACTTCATTTTCTTGAAATTGATTCAATATTACCCGAAACCGGTAACTACTTTATACATACATTGCATATTAGACTAAAATTAATTTGTATATATTTTGCCGCAAAAATCGAGGAGCTACCTCGACAAATGGCCTTGTAAAATCTGTACATAGTAAAGAATGTCTAATGAAAAATGCAAAAGTGTCTCAGTCATTCATCTTCGTGAATGGTGATATTAACTTTACTGAAATTTTTACATTTTATGTTTTCTCTCAAAATATATATTTTCTAAACCATCTGAAATGTTAAACATAAAAGGGAAATATGTCTAATAAATTTTCTATAATTTAAACCATTTCGTTTAGAGCTAACGGCTATTGCAAAATTCCAATGATTTCTTTGTTTTGTTTGTCGAAGAACTTCATCAGTAGTCCAAAACGAGAATTTCATAGGCTCCCAAATGTGTCAGTTATTAGTGAAATAAAACACGAATTGCTATCAATTGAACATATTCGATCATGTAAATATATAAGTTGTTCTTTCCTGGCTCTATTTGAATGAGTCAGTTTACAGCGAAATCATTATAATTATACAAAATACTAAGAATATAATGTAAAACCCAATGTGGTTATCTCTTCCTATAGTGTTTCATAATCTTTTCATTTGTGGGTATTACATCAATCTATCTAACTCGGAATTTAGATGTATATATGGTACGATTTTCGAGAAATTCCTATGAACACGCTTTCCTATCCTAAGACTTTCTTGAAACGAAGTAAAATAAATCGGAATAGAATTTGTATAGATTAGTTCACGCAGACGAATGTGACAAGTTTTGGAACTCGACCAGTATGTAATAGCTGTATTAAGAAAGGTCAAAATTCAAAGTAACAATGTTTTTTCTATAAGGTTCCCATACCACAAAATACTGACTGGTGCTCTATGATCTAATGATAACGAAACATTATTGTTGCTGTAAAATAAATGAATCGGAATATGAAGGAAGAACAAACCATATTTTTACAAACAACCGACGTGTTTCTTTCATGCATAACATCATGTAAATATTTTATTATTAAATCCACTTAGCAATTCCTCACATGTCCCATTTTACATATTTCAATGAGTTGACGTGGAAGAACCCAATTTGTGTAAAAATATTTAATCGGTCGAAAAATTGTATGTACCTTTTCTGTATATTCGTATACAAATATGGTCCCTCAATAACTAAAACCTTCAAGAATTCAATTGAATCGTGGTTAACTGAAAACATCAAAGAATTAGAGAATTTGATAGATAGAGCCTGGTTGGTTTTTAGGAATATCAATTAAGTGATCATGACTACCATACGCAGTTACGAAATCATATCAATTCAATTTTTAAGTTGGAACAGAACACAAACAATGAGTAATTCCAACAGACCCTAACAAACAATATATCATTACTATGCAGAGATGAAAATCTTCTGAAATATTTTCTGAAATTGTTCTGAAATTGTTCAACAACTATAGAATACAAATTTACCGCTATTATTGACGTAAGACTGATTACCCATTTAAGAAGCATAAAAACCAATGCTACAGAAGTAGATGGTGAATTTCACTAATTTGGACTTCCTTTGTCTAAAGGAAAAAATAAAGAACAAAGAAATACAATGAAAGTAAAATAAAAAGTTAAGAGATTCCAAGCCACGTTAGTTCACGACGTTTCGATCGTTAGTGTCTACAGTCGTCTTCGGGTGGTGACTGGACTGATTCCTCCGAGAGATGACTATGTATGGTTCGAGTACTTTCACTTTCACTTATCCCCGCTTTCCATTTTTTCCGCTTCACTGGTTCAGTGGGAGATGACCGTTTGGCGGGAGTTGGCCATTTTTCGCTTGATGATGGGTTTACATATGTTGCGTATCTCTACGCTAGCTTGGCTGAATACATTGTTGGACAGCATGTATGCGGCTTCCTTGAATTTTCTCCTAAACCAATGTTCCTCTCTGTGTATGATCTCAGCTTGGGACCACTCGATGTTGTGTTGATGGGTCCAAACATGGTCTGCTATTCCTGATTTGCTGGTTTCCCCGCGCTGAGTGTGTTTCTTGTGCTCGGCCATGTGAACATTCAATGGTCTCTTAGTTTCACCAATATAGGATTTTCCGCACTCACAGGGTATCCGGTAAATGCAATTCTTGGAATCGCAGTCCGCGTTTGGTGGCCTGGTTTTCTTGAGGCTGCTACGGATACTGTTACCGGATCTGAAACAGGTCCTGATGTTGTACTTGGAACCAATTCTTCTTACCATCAACGATAATCCTCTGATGTAAGGAAGTGCAAGCATTGGTTGTAACGGCATCTCTTCCTTGCGAAGCTCCTGCTGTCTTTTAGCCAAAGTCTTTTCTACCATCGCTTTGGAGTAGCCATTCCGTTGAAGATCATTTTTGATGATGTCTAGTTCCTTCTCGAGACCTTCCTTCGTATTACAGAGCCATTTGACAAGCTGAGTCCAATGTACAGGCTGTAAACTTTGTATAAACGATAAAGAACGCTTTGTTTGAAGTTTTAAACCAAGGAAATTGAAAATATTTTAATTCAGCTTAGCAATTATTGTGTATACAAGTATACAATAATTGTGTATAGAAGAATTGAATTGAATTTTTCCAAATTTTTCCAGTATATTCACCGAAGTTCTGGAAAAATGTGACAACACCGCATGTATTAACACAGTAGAATGCAGCTAACTAAACTGTTGTATTAAAAAGTAGGGGAGTGTATCTTGAGTTGTTGAGTAAAGACGTTTGAATTCGCAATGAACCACTCAATGAATGTTAGTTTTTTAACTCAACTTCCCATTTCCAGACACCACAATAATGTTACTGATTTTCACCAAGAAACGGGTCAGTGTATTCAGAATTATCCAGTGATTGATCTTATTCATTTCAGTTGAATTGTGGTCCTAGCTCTAGTTAACTTTTATCGTTGTAAACCATGCCCTTAAGAAAATAACGCAGGCCGCCACTGGTAACCATGAACTAATTGTGACGTAGCTGAGAGCGCGCCCAGTCCGACCGACGTTTCGCGAATGTTCGATGTTCGCTGCCGTTCTAGATATGGCGAGAATAATGCTACCGGATTCCATGGAATTCCGATGAATTTTCTACCGCCTTCGATTGCCAAATATAAAAGCGATTCATTCGTCTATCGGGACAGTCAAGTTACGCGGACAGTGCGGTGCAAAGCGTTATAGAGCGATAGACATTTGAATAATAGTTGAGTTTCAGATGAAGTGTTTTGTTATACTAATAGTGAAAAAAAAGTTAAGCTTGATTATTATAGAGAGTGGTCAATCGTTTTCCCCCTTTTTTCGGATAATATTCATCTCACACAGAGAAGTCCCCCACGAATATCTCCTCTTAAATTTCAAATCTGACAACAAAAAGTTCGAATCTCTTTTCGAAACTTGTTTTTGCAACGAACCGTCGTTTATTTCTTCGTTTATCATTTATATTCGTAGATTTTTCTGGATTCTAGTTCTTGTTGGTTATTTGCAGTGAAAGTTGAGAGGAAGGCAGGAAGTGAATTTCATTTAGCAATCAGCTAATGGATGCAATAAAATTTGAAAATAATTATCAGAATAATCCTCAGAGAAATTGCTAACGATCATATTTGTGATGCACTTTTTGGAACCTTTGGTGTAGTAATGAATATTACTGGAGTTTTTTTCCAACACCAAAACGTTATTCAAGAGGAAGATCAAACTGATCTTCCTCTTGAAGATGATCACTTGGTGATATTTTAAACAACATATTTAAACAACATGATCGAAACACTTGTCGAGGTGTTAAAATAATGTTTTGGTGTTGGGAAAAAATATTCTAAGATCATATTGTAGTGCAACATCCTATATTCAATAAAAGTATATTTCAATTGTGGTGAAAATTATCATCAAGTTACATAATTTATGTTTTTATATCAGTGATGTTATTAAATATTCTAAGAATATCGACATAAAAAAAAGTTTTTTCTCTGAATCACCATGATAATATGTGTCACATATTGATCATGTCAACCAAGTTTATTTTCTTAGAAACAGTAATGATCATTTAAAACACGACAGTGATGAAAAGATTACGTTCTCATAATTTCCACTGCCGTTATCAGTCCTGCATACAGTAAAAAAAATAAATATGTATAATAATTTTAAATAATTCAGAGTCGATGTTAGATTGTGATTGTTATACAATTTAGTGGTGGATTATTTTCAGTTTGATAGCATTCGTAAAATTAAGCATGTGGCAACCTTTTTAGAATCAGTAGTAACATATTTATTTGATCTTCTTTTATTCAAGTGTAGGACTTCATTCATAAAATCACATATCCACGATCTTGTAGTGTTTTCTAAAAATAATTCAGATGCCGACTAAATCTAAATTATCATAATTTAAAACCAAAAAACGTTCTGATTTATAATTTGCCAGTTCTGATTCATAATGTTTACTGTCGGAGATTTATTTCACCATAAATCAGAAATGGAGTGGTATTTCGTGTAAGCTGATTTTTTGTACTTTGAAGCGGAAGCTTCAGTTATAGAGACTGTGATTAAGCTACAATGCAGCTGATTAAAGTAACCTAAAGTAACCTCTGAGCTACAATGCAGCTGATTAAAGTAACCTTTTCATTCCTGTTTTCTTTCATGAGAATTTCATCGTGAATTTTTATAAATTAAATTTCATTAAAATGAACGCTAGTGACGATTTTAAAAAGAATAAAGAGGTTTTCGATAAAGAGTTGGAAGCGATTAATGGGATATACGATCCGATATGTACCTATGTAAATACGATGATTCTTCTGCAAGTTCTGGTTTAAATATTACATCATGAAATGGTGAAATGGAGTATGATGTGTTTGCTGAATAGTTCTCGAATCGGCGTCGTAGAACTTGAAAAATCTGTCGTACCTGTACCTTTTTCAGCGAATTATTATGAATATACGATTACCAAATAAAGGTGCAATTTTTTTTAGCAAGTTTGACGAAATTCAAGTGAAAAATCATGTTTTCATGGGCCCGAAACCATTGTTGAGTCAAAACAATTTTTTTATACACTATGTACCTTTTTTCGGCGAACACCACAATGCGTACTTGCTAGCTTAAAGTAGGGCCCTTTTAGAGCTATATATCAAGGGCTATATTTCTGACACCCTAATGTCAGGCTACTACTATCAATGAAACACACTGTACTTCGATGACCTTGTGATCCAACACCAGACAGCTCTGTTTCGCACCGCCAAGGTTTCATCAGTGGTGCTAGGCTGAACCACTGAACTGTCCTGCATACTTTTCTGAACTATCTATAACTCCATCGATTGTCAAACTATAAGCTTTGCTAAAATAACCTAGATGTGGAATTTTAAACTATATATAAATATGAGAACGCTTGAGGAAGCTATTTAAAGCGAAACACGTGTTGCGGTTTTGTACACTGACGAGTGGATTTTCATCAAGTATCGGCTGATTTCATGGCACATATTTAAAAAAAAAATGATTTCTAAGTAGTCCTGGTATCTGTCTTAAAATAATGTAGTGTGGTAATTTGTGTTCCAGGGGATGTTATGAGATGTAGTAAAATTACGATTTCAATGTTTTCATTACACGTCAAACAAAAGGAATGAGATTAGGTATAGTAGTAGTTCCAACCAATGCGAATGCTAGTGGGGTGTGGTAGCTGTGGATTTAGAACTGTACACGCGTAAAACGCTTTTCTATTTCTATCCATCAAGGGTAAGTAAATCATCCCGTTCTGCCCTCTACCTCTGTCAGTTTTGCCTTTACTACATAAGGCAAAAACAGTGAAAAAGGAATCTAAAAGTATCATCAACAGAAACCAGGTCAGGCTGTTGAATTGGATTTGAGAATCCTTCAGAAACCAGTACACTCATTTGTATCTCTCTAACTATTAATACAAAAATAGAATCGAAAAATGGGTTAGGAACCAATGGATAATCATGTTAGATAACGGTTACCATTTTTCAAATTTCAGCAAAGAGAATGAAGGAATGAAAATATCACTTTTTCAATTTGAATTTATTTATTCATTTATTCCTTTTTCAGATAGCACAGGTGTTTGAGATCCCAATTTCACCGTTTATCACAAAATCTGTTAGTCTTAATCTCTGCTTCGACTTATCGTTGGCAAGTACTTCTACAGCAGTTACAATTTTTACTCTCAAACCTCTTGGTGAAGAGAGAACAGAACTAATGATTGGAGCTGAGGGGCTTGCCAAACAAATCGAAACATTATCGCTGGCTTCGCTTGTAGTGTGGTACAACATTTTGTATAAACTTAACTGATAAGATAACTCAGAGGATTTGCAAAAACAGAAGAATTATTGAAAAAATCAAGACGTAATGAAGATTTCAGTAGATGTTGGACCAATAGCAGTTGAATGGTGAATTTCTGTCATCTATGCACCAATCTGTTTTCTTGGTTCAATATTAATGATGATGGCGACTCAGCTACATATGCCCTACATTCTAACATTGGAATACAGCTAAGCTGATCTTTTGTATCACCAAAACTAAGACTCACCTTCAAACATCTTATAGGCACCTCCGAGTACCACGATGAGTACTGCTACAAGTTTGGCAGCTGTAAAGACATTCTGTACGCTGGTTGCAAGGCTGACACTGTAGCAGTTGATATATAGAATCACGACTGAAAATGAAATAAAAAATATACAGTTTTCAAGAAGAATAATACAGGTTACATAATAGCCATTGTCAGGTTGAATGGAGATAGCTGAAATGGTACTGCACCGATATATCTTAGCGTTTCCCTATCCAAAATACTTCCTTTTAGAAGTAATACTAATACAAAATTCAGAAATCATTCTCACTTTTCATGACTGATAAGAGTATAAGTATCATATGTCTGATTTGATCTCATTGTAAAACGGACAAATACGAGATGTATTATTTATAGATGAAAATAAAATTGGTCTGCTGAAGAGAGATACATACGAGTACTTATTGAGAAAATAATCCTCTCCAAACGTTCCTAGACTGTATGATTTCGTGAATACATTTCTGATGTTGTTAGAGTGTTAATACGTGGGGTGCTTCTCCCCTATTTGGTACTTTGGTCACGAGATGGAACTGTTACTAGTTAACAAATCTTCCTCGCGGAGGAAAGTTTCGTATGTGCAGTCGAGCAAGGTTGAAGTCAGTCGAGTGCTAGCCAAACTGCTGTTGGGATCAGACCGCTCCTGCACCGATGAGGGGTAATTTCCCGAAATCGGTCTGTAAGTATATCCTCAGCGAGAAAACTTGCTTGAATATCTGTAGGATATGATTCAATGTCTATACTGGTATTAGCCATGTAATTAGTTGTTTTCCGGCAGGCAAATGTCAGATTATAAAGTGTAGGAACTTTGGTAGAGGTGAATGTTTCAAAGTATCATTTCGTAATATTTCATTTTTACAGAAGAAATACTACCGGCTTTTTTAGATAAGTACTTTTGATTCTGATGAAAGTCAGAACAATCCCTATTTGTTTTCATAAAAATTTAGTTTGGATCTGAGGCTTGTATGTCACGCTCTAAAAGAGTGAATATCAATAATTGCTCAGTGCATTAACTGAAACTAGAAATCGTACGTTAAAAGGTAATTCTTTGGTAATTCTAATCTAGTTTCCGATTCTTGAAACTGAGGTTGTGTATATGCTGTAAATTACATTCATTTGAGAAATTTACGACCCCAGGAGGGGCAGAAGATTCTTACCTATTGCTAGTAGGGCCACCATTTTGACAACAATTTCCGGAGGTTCACATTCTGTAACAAACGCTTCGACGGCATATTTCCCGAAACTTAGGCAGATGATAGCCATCTGTGATGGTTTCAGCACCAGAGTACTAGCCCAGGAAAACAAAAATGCCGGTGGAGCTCCAAAAGCGTCCATGAAGTAAGCGTATTCCGCTCCTGAAGAGGTGTTCATCGTACCTAGTTCTGCATAGGCTAGGGCACCTGAAAAAAGATATAGAAGGTTGAAAACTATATTTGAGATAATTCACTATTCATACGAATAAGTTATTTTTAAATTGAAGGGGTTATATTTTTTAGGAGTGATTAATTTTTGGGAAAGAAAGTTTTTGGCTTTCTACTACTCCATCTTGATACAAACCGATTGTCCGGAATAAATAACCCCTTCAATTCAAATAAGATTCCTCTTGGCTGGGATTAAATCAAATAGGTGAATGAATGTCATTACGATGCCATCGATGACATAAGCAGATCACGCTTATTCCGTGACATTAAAAAATCGTAATTCATGAATGAAGTGTGTGTATTTTCTATAATGTTATCCAATTTGGTACTGAAGAGTCTTAGGACAAGTGTCTTAAGGCGAAACATCGTTGTATACCAGTGATGATGACAGTGTTCCATATAAGTGCAATTTGTTACTATTCATTTAAAGTAGAACTCATGTGAATGATATCTGATTTTTATTCCACAACGAATGTTTGAAAAACAAACTGAGTAGAGAAAAGTATCTTCTGTATAATTCAGTGTTCATATAGAAGTATTTGTTTCGAAAGAATTTTTTCTTTCGTATAATTCAATGTTTATATGAAAGTAGCTGTTTCAGGAGGACTTTCTTTCAGTTTGTGTATGAAAGTTACTTCTTCGCATGATCTACACATCCATGTATAGAGTTACCTCCTTCCTTTCTTTGGAAGACTCCCTCGTCCTTCTTTTTTGTATCAAGATGGAGTAGTAGAAAGCCAAAAACTTTCTTTCCCAGTTATTTTTAGTATAAGACAATAATTATTGGGGTCTGGAGAGAACCCAATTTTTTTCTGAAGTTTTTCATTAATCTGAGTGTTTACGTCAGGACAGTTATGAAAGCACTTTTAATCCTCTGTTGGCAGGTATTACATATTTACGAAAATAAAGGTGATAAAAATATAATCTAAAAGTATCATCAACAGAAACCAGGTCAGGCTGTTGAATTGGATTTGAGAATCCTTCAGAAACCAGTACACTCATTTGTATCTCTCTAACTCTGCGTAAACGCAAGCGAGACATAAGTGGAACCACCTATTTCTGCCACCGCAGTTGGTCAAACCACCAACACTGACATAAAAAACTTGGCAAGTTGACTTGGGTGTCAGACCAATAGGTGGTTCCACTTATGTGTTGTAAAAAAAATGTATCTTTATTCATCATTATTTTATCGTTTTTATGTCAATAAAAGACATTTATAAACTGAAACAAATAATTTCTATCTCCATTTGTTTATAATTTTAACACTTGTTAATTAACAGAATACTTCGTTTATAATAATTTTTCAAAGTGAACAATAAAAGAAAAGACACAATAATGTTCTGAAAAAATGTATCTTTATTCATCATTATTTTATCTTTTTTATGTCAATAAAAGATATTTATAAACTGAAACAAATAATTTCTATCTCCATTTGTTTATAATTTTAACTGTCAATTATAATTGAAAAAANTTATTGAATTTGATATTGTTTTTTGGTTTTAATGAATTATTTTATTCTTTCATTAGTGATAGGTATTGTTCAATTTTCAATGATATATTTCATTTATTTAAATAAATTATTTCATTTTTGAGAACTGAAAGTGATTTCAATCTCCTGTGAAAATTCTGATGTCCAGACAACTCAGAATATATTACCGGTTGGAAATACCTGTCTCAGGCCAGTCAAAAATAAATTTATAGAAATCAAACAAACTCTGATAAGACGCCAAAATCAACAGAAGAAATTTTACAATGGAATATGGAAAAATATCGTTTATTGCCATGGAAAAAAGAAAATGACATCTTACAAAATTTGACAGGGTATATCTCGAAAACTAAGAATGAGAAGAATATAGTTACAAAATTAGAAACTAAAAACTTGGAAATGCAATGAGTAGAAAAAAATGAAATTGAAAGGTTTTATTGAAAAAAAAAAGATAATGGTGTAGATGAAGTACTGCAAACTGAAAAATTATTCGGAAAGTCCTAGGTAGCAATCATCACATCACTCTTCTCAGCAATCCACGGTATAAATAACATAAAAATTAATAGAATTGTTGGGTATTTACATATTTACCCAAGTTACGTTACGCCCAATGATTTTATTACTTTTTTATCTAATCTATTCCGTAGGAATAGGAGAGTGGTGTAATGACTGCAACACAGGATCTTTCGAATAATTTTTTAGTTTTTGGTGCATTATCTATATCATTATTATCTTGTTTTAATTAAGTTCAAAACAGAATCTGTTTTACCAAAAACCCTGCTTTTTTTGCAAATGATATATACCCAACAATCGAAACTGACTAATGTGATGTTCATTTAAACACCTCAGGCTTATATAAATCCTTTACGTCTCCAGTCGAAAAATACAAACGATAGCCATTGAGAAAGGATATCTGAAATTTCATTCAAAATCTTCATTAGATTGGACAGTATGGATATACATTTTTGGAAAAAATGCTGTTTGCTTTCTACTTCTACATCATCAAAAAAATATGGAAAACTTACAAGAAGATTTCATTNTATATCATTATTATCTTGTTTTAATTAAGTTCAAAACATAATCTGTTTTACCAAAAACCCTGCTTTTTAGATATTCTCTTCCTCCCTTTCTTCCTTTGGTAATTTACTTTATCATATTCCTTTTTCAATTCCAATCGCTTTAAAATTTTCAAAAATATTACAAAATGTGTATTGATCTAATGCTTATCCAATTCAGTTTGGAGAAAAATACAATCCTTTTCTACGTCGTGTATACATACTTACATCATTCGGTATAACTGTCGTTTCTTCTAAAAGGAGAAAAATCAGTAATACATTTCAATGAAAACAGTAGAGAGGATCATTTTCATTTAGATAAAAGGCAATATTCTTCTTCGTTTCACATTCTTCCGAGGTTGTTCGTGTTTCCATGGCAGCATGAACGACGGGTTTTATCGATTGGGAATACTCCTCAAATCAGTAGAGGATTTCTTCAATCCCAGCACTCATATTTTAAATCAAGTCTTGGTAATATTGAGTGTGTCAGGTACCATTTGACATTTGCACTAGAAATTTGACATTTTTTACCACAATCTTCTCTATTTGCCATTTGTTAAGTCACTTGAAAATTTCCTTGTAAGAATAAATCATCAAGACAAGCCAGCGTCGAATAACTCACTTTTCCTTTTTCCTTTGAAGCCCCAGCTTACATATTAATTTCAGAAAGTTGTTCTGTAAGTTTTTCAGAAGTTAATGAAGTGCTCTAGTATCGACAGTTGTGTCGAGTAGCATTAAAAAAGACAGATTTGTACGTCAAATTTCTGTTCCTATTCATCATGTCGCTGGAATATTCCAGAATTGCACGTGGCGGTCAAATTCGCCTTCATTGAGTTTATGCATCATTTCCATTACGAATGGATAGGATTTGAGTTATTTCAACATTTCGAGAACAATATTTCCATTGACACCGTTTGAAAGAAAGTATAATGACATAACTGAAAATCGCAATTTGTACGCATACACATCATCCTTCTCATAATAAAAAGCTACTGATTAAGTATATCTTGCGATGTGTAAACCACTCAATCTGACACAGTGAGTAAAGATGCTTTCCAATCTTCACTGTGGCCGTGGGACTCAGTACGAACCAAGATAAGGAGTGATCTGCAGGAAATGTGTGTGTTGGCTGACGTTTTAGCTATTGCTAAAGAGAAACGTTATCTTGTTCTGTATCCTGTGCAGCAGGAGCATCTAGAAACAAAGCCTATGGTTCAGATTTATGACAGAAGATACTTGCAGGAGCGGCCAGCATACTTTTTGCCGGGGCAGAAAAAATGAAGACTTCCCAAACAGAAGCTGCCAGAAATCGAACAACTCTAGACTTCCACATAGAACTATTGAGGCTCAGACAGAATTAGCGATTGAAGAAGGTGTCCAAAACGATAATTGGAGATCTCAGCTACCGAACGACTAATTCCAAGTATCTGCAAACTGGTACATTCGAAATAACCTGAAGACGAAGAAAAGGTCAATAGTTCACCAAGTAGTCCTTTACCTGGTAGTCCTGCCCTAGCCAAAGCTAAGAGCGCTCTCAGAGTTTCAATACCAACCAAATTGCAAGGTGTTGCATACATTATACATTGAGGTGCTTTGCCGAAAATACCAAGAAGATCTCTGCAGCGTCAACCTGAACCTCCTCGGCACCGACCCGCCTATCTCCAACCCGGGCATGCACTGGCAACAGAAACTGAAGTCGCCCAGAATGTTATCTTCTGCAAGGAGCTGTTCAACCAGTTAGCCAAAGAGGCGATCCAACTGCAGGCCCCCATCCCGCACATGATAGTCAGTAACCAGATTAAGGCGACTGTTCTGCCTGGGGTCCAGTTGATAATCGCATTGAGGAAGTTCACGACAGGTGACAAGAAGCAGCAGAAACCCGCTTTGTCGAAGAGCTACCACGATCATGTTCTGGAGCATTTTCTACATCAGTTGTTGAGTGAGGTTCATCATAAGAATACTCATCATTCGTTTCCTCATCCCGCTAAAGGACCTTTCGGTCCTTCCAAGAAACGGATGATTACAGGACACATGGTAGCAGATAGGTACGAGCTCCTAGAAATGACGAAATCGCAAATCCTTCCCGACCAAATGGTGCAGCAATCCCAGCATTCCATAATGCGCAAGCGCACGGAGTACGTTCTAGACACCATAGCCAATGAAATGAAAGACCCCTTGTTAACTTTCCACTGGAACACCCTGAACAGCCCTACGCAGTCCTGTGTATAATTACAAATCGTGACTCATGGATACGACGCCGTCTGTCGGACGCCTCTCATCATCCACGTGGTGGAGATAGAATCATAGCTGTGAGGTGCGAACCTAATGCGGGCATACTAGTCGTTTGGTGACGGAGAGAAAGTGGGAGCATCTGATGGAGCAGTATAGAGACGTGGTGAGGTTGGATAACATGGAAGGAAGCAATTTCTTACATAAAATGGAGCTACTCATTGCTAGCCTGACAAGCAATTCTTGAATGGAATAGACTTCTTTATTTTAATTCAATTTGAGGATTAACTACACATATTTTACATTGAAACATTCAAAATTCATATTTAGGCGTGTCTTCATATTACTATTTCACATTTATACATTTCAAATTATATATCTTCATAATTTTCTATGTTAACATATCACATATTTTATTTCCCACTTCACAACGTTCATTGATTGATTATTTAACTTGCTTTAGCACAAGGTCATACCTTTCATGAGCAACAAACCGATCTATTGGCTGAATTAGATTGAATAATTGTAATTTTATGTATCGTTGATGGCAAATACATTATTATTATTATAATACAGAAAGAAAATACAAACAAGGGCCGAATTTGATTGTTCAACAAACTCTATTCTCATTTTTCGAGAACATAGTCATAGAAATGCAAAACGAAAACAAAGTTGTATTAAGAATGGAAATATCTTTCCTTCGAAGTACCGACTCCTTTTCCTATCTGAAGAAAATATTAGGTAGTTCTGGAGATTAGTTTTGTTTCGCCCTTATTAATTACAAAATATAGTAACAAAGATTTTGAGAGCTGATTGGAAATACCAGCTTTATTTATATATCGGTTTTCAATAACTAACATTACTAATGTTACAGTATTACATTACAATAGTATCTTATTTGAACTTGAGTAAACGATTCTAAGTAAGGTAAAGTAAAGATAAACACAAACTAGTCCATAAAAAAATAAATACTGCCTTTTTCAGCTCATCATGATTTAAATACAAATAAATATTTTTTCCTATTTCCAACAATACAAGTCCGGTATTATTTGTTATGTACATGCATTTTGCCAGATCATTAGAGTTTCACAAAAAATTATGTGTACTCCGAAGGTCTGCTCAGATTGGGAAGATTGCCGCCATTCCAATCTTGGCAAACTGGTAGCTTGCCTCTCATTCGTCTCGCTCATCCCTTCCTACACTCATTCGCAACGCGTATCCATTCATTTCTCGTTCCATTCCTATCTCTCAACTGCATTCCTCCCTTTTCTTCTTCCAGCAGATCTTTCCATTCTCTCCACCCAAATCTATGTCCGTCTCTCGATCACATGTTCTGCCGTTTCAGGGTATGAATGAAAATGTTAGAGTGATTAGTGACTCCGCCATGGCGATGGAAAGGATGAAAGCACACGAGTGAAGAACAAAAGGGTGGCGAAAAGGACATAAAAACGACAATCCTGGAAATGAAGAAGCATACAAGGAGGCCACGAAAGGCACAAGAAGGGATAGTATTCAGTGGAATGTGAAAAAATTAGTAGCAAGAGCGACGAAAGAAAGAGGATAAAGGAATGGATCACGAAAGAATGGCAGCGAGAATGGGATAACGGCATGACTGGGCGACTGCTGTACAGAGTCCCGCAAAATTTCCAGTTTTGAATCAAAGTTTCGAGTTGAAGTCGAAGTTTGGGAATATGAAAGAAATTTAATTCGCAAAGTAGTCGAAAGTTATTTTTCATCAAAAATCATTATTTTTCCCGATATATATTTTCCTAAATTTTTCATTCCTTATGAAAGTAATATTTCATCGAAATAACTCTTTACTAATAATGTAACTCAACTGCTCAACCTATACAGATTGTACAAAAGTATTCAACTCGGGTTGAACGGGATTTTTGTTTTCTGATTATTGCTTTCTGTAGTGATTAGTAAGATCTGCAAATTATTTTCAAGAAAAATTCACTGTATTGGTTTAATTTTCTTGTGCATCTCTATTTTTTTATTATTTTGATTACTTTTCATCTTGATATATCGTAAGAAGTACTGTATAGTATTTTATCATTATTGAGATAAGCCTAGGATAGTTTTTGCTGACTAGTTGAGAGGAAAACTTCGAAAGTGTCTTTGGGTAATCAGCAAAACGGAAGTGTACCTATTCTTATAACACAAGTTATTCCAATATTTCGATAGAATTTATTATCGTTTTCGAGAAAAAGTTACTATTAAATGAAGAGATTTCGATATTGGAAAAGGATTTTCATACTGGTTCTAAGGTGAGGGACAAAATGATATCGCATTTTCCTCCAGAATTTTATTGACAGACAAGGCAACTTATGTTAGTTTTCATGAATTCATAAAAATTATCTGTATTTACTTTCAGAATGAGTGAGTCGGTATCTGTGTAAAGTAAAGAGACATTTTCACCAAAATGTTGTTTGATGCATCCATAGAAAAAGTCGTACATGACTGATTTAGATAATTCTAATATAGAAAATCCCAAATATAATGGTTTATTATAATGGACTTCAACTTCATTCAATTGAATGGCGACGAAATTTTCTGTGAAAATTGAACAATTTTTGAAATTTGGTCTGGATATGAGATGGCACCTATATTTTTCTTTATATTTTCCCAATATGTAACGAATCTAACATCAATTATGTTATCTACATTCTCCATTGTCTTTCCATATACCGCATTATTCGTTAGTTTATAGAAATCTTTAACAGATTTGTTGTTAGACCTATTACGCATTTCAGTATTAAGATCTATATAGGGTTTCATCCAACGTGATTCTTTGAATTTCAATACTCTATGTGTATTCATTACAATTAAACCATTTTTGATGACTTGCTGTAGATTCCTATAATGAACAATATATTTTCTTCTATCACTCAAATTTGGAATTAATTTGGGAATTTTCGATTGTGTACGAGGTGGTATTAATTTTTCGACTAAAAAAGGAAGATCAGAATGTTTATCATGCAACTCTTGTGGATAATGAATGTCCACTTCAAACACATACCCATACGGACTATCAGCACTCACATTTATCACATCAAGATTAGGAATTTCATTAGGTGCAACCATGTAAATTCACTTGTTGGTAGAGGTTGTGACATACTATGGTCGTATAGATTTGTTGCATCTAAATATGTAATGGATGTGGAAGGTTCATTGGGATTATATTTTGGTTAAAATTCATTATTTACTATATCTTTCCTTTCACTACACTGACTAATTCCACCTTATACCTTTTTGAAAAAAGTGAATCATATCAATGTCAGTAATTCCAATTCAATTCGTATACTTCAACATAGCATCCCA